TTTGGTGACTTTCACTATTAGCTGATATCGATGCCAGGAATCCTTTAACAGCTGGAATCCAATAAACAACTTAGAAATCACAAATACTTAAAATCACAAGTGCGTAAGTATTTTTGTTTATGTAAAGTTCCTTGAGGTAACATGTTGTTAATTGGTGCTATTTAAATAAACCTAACTAAATTAATTTTATTTTCCAGCACCATTTGGCCGTTGGATCAATGTCAGTGGTGTTACTGTGACTGAACGTATTGTCGAGAGGTAGAGTCACCAGACCGAGCAATGCAGACGAGCTGTTACCATAGCAACACGCTTTCAACACGCACGGGTGCAGTAATTCATGCAAACGGAGATCCAACAAAGTATTACATCCTTTTTTTATTGGCCTTTTATAAAATTCTGAGAAACAGAATTTCTAGTTTTCATCAGCTATAAGGCAATTTAATAAAAATTTACATAAACACACACTTGAAATATGTCACTGAAAAATATCCCTATGAGTGGATTGAATCTAAAAAAAAAATGCTTCACTTTAATTAAATTACATATTTTGATTTTTCAAATCATGAAATATTTAAAACTAGCCAATGCAATCAAGCTAGGTCAAACTAAACTCCAAACATCCATCACAGGTCTGTAGGGTTTGTTGTTTTTAAGTCTTTAAAAGCTGTTTCATTGGTTTTGCTCCAGATTTTTCATTCTCTTTCTTCTGATTCTGGCCTCTCTCTCTCTGTCCGCTGTGGAGCCAGTGGGTTGAAAGGTGAGCAGTGTGGGCGAGATTTGTTCACCTGAGCCTTACTTACACCTGGACTGGTGACAGACGGAGAACGGCTGAGAGGGGGGCTGCTGGTCTGCCAGGTGTCTCAATAGACTGCCAAAAAAAAAAAAAAAAAAAGTCACCACTGTACCAAACTATATTCAATATTCAAAGTGCATGAGATGGAAAACTTGAGTTAAATTGCACCTTTTGTAATTGCACTAAAAGTCTCGAAAAGTGTGTTGCTACAAAACCAGGTTTAAAAGTAAAGAAAACATGAACAATGTTTACATCATCCTCCACATTAATTAAGCACCACTGGGAAAGATGTGTAAAATATCTTAAAATAAATGTACATTCTATTACAGCACCAAAAAAACCCCAAAGAAAAATAAAAAAGGAACTAAAAATAAATTAAAAAAAAAAATCCAACAATTTGATTACATTTAGGATTTGTTTTTTTTTTCATAATCACCCCTGACAATTTTATATATATTTTTCCCATTTACAATTCTGGTTTTACACTGATCAGTGTGTTAATATTATTTATTACATAATATTAATATTGTGTTAATCTTCATATCTACAGTAATACAATAAAAGTCGAAGAACAACTAGAACTACACAATCGAGGATGAACGAGGAGACAGATTTATTTCACCAGCATATAGTTTGGAGGACGGCAAGAATCAACGTCTTTGTTTTTATGGTAGGGAACCATGTTCAGGGCAGCGCTTCAACACTGCCCCTTGTGGATGAAATGAGAGTTACAGCCTTACATGGTGAAGCACCTTGTTTTCAGCTTCATTCGTCAAAAATCTAGTTCCTTCTTCAAACTGGGCCAAGTTCTAGTTTGGAATAACTGGGTTTCTTAACGGCGCCCTCATCAGTTACTACGACTTCTCTAATGTTGTTTTACGTCCATTCTTTTTGCCCTCTCCTTTTCATCTTCTAAAATCAAGTTTAATCAATATACTGTTAAATACGACACCGTTTTGCCCAGAGTACATAAATAACTTGGTGTACCTGACTGGTCTCTTCTCTGACCGGAGCCCTTTTGTTCTCCGTCCTCTGGATACGGCCTCAGCTGCACAAAGAGGGACTTCAGGACTGAAGGTGCTGAAGTGTCTACACAAGAGGGCAAAATGAATATTTGGGGGGGAAAAAACAAAAAAAAAAACACACAATCTGTTCATATTGTAGTTTTTTACTACAGTCACAAACTTCAATGGGACTTTATTGGACAGACCAAAACAAAAGACTGTAGGGGGATGGGGAGATTTACACGTTTTTATTAAAACTTGTCATTCATTTGTTCTCCAAGGTGCACAAAAGCTGGTTAAACTGGTAAAGCATACTCATGTGTTACAGGAAGGCCCAGTCAAAGTACAAAAACCTGAACCTAAGTGAGAATGTGTAGCAAGACTTGGAAACTGATGTTCTCCACCCAATCCTGATTGAGTTAAAGAAATCCCAAAACATGTGCAGCAGTGAAAACAATGTTGTCCTACAATTTATTGCATTTGGGTAAAATTCAGACAGGTGGACTTGAATGTACTCATTTGATGAAATTGCACTGGATTTTATTTGAGGATATCAGAGTAAAAGGAAGAAAACAGATACGTTTGGATGTTGAAACCATGAATTGTTTTTTTCCTCACTTTCAAACTAAACCGCTTTGGGTTGGTCTGCCATAAGACCCAATATGATACATTAAAGTTTGAAAAGAATATATATTAAAAAAAAAAAAAATAAAAAAAACACTGAAGAATCTTTTACCTTTTGGGGATGAAACGTTAGGCCGGTTCTGATTCGTCCGACTTGAAGACGGCTCACAAGCGGAGCCGGATAAAATGCTGCAAACTGCAGCTGACGGCGGTTTCACAGCATCGTTTTCAGTTTTGCAGCTCTGGGAGGATATAGAAGACACTCGCCTGTGATGCATTCTAAGCTGGGATGGGAAGCACCTTCGATCACAGTCTCTCTGTTTGGACTCCGCCGTTTGAGTCTTTGAGCTTGGAAAAGAAGGTGAATTCTCACCGAGAGGGGAAGCAAAAAGGCTGCAGAAGGGCAAGGAGGGTATCTGGACATCCGCAGACCGCTGAGGTCTCACAGCTGCAGTCAAAGAGTTTGATCCTGGTGTGACACTGTCAGGGAGCGGGCTTGCAAAAAGGCTACTGAACGATCTTTTCACGGTTTTATTACTTTCAGATGAAAAATCTCCCTGATTTGTTGTGTCGCTGCTGGATTTTATGGAGTTTTTAGAAGAATGATGTTCTAGTGTTGCAGGTCGGGCATCTGAATGTTTCCTTTTGAAGCTTGGGAGAATATTAGAGAGTTCAAAGTGAGGAACTGAAACATCACCTGCTTCTCTTCTTTTATTATATCTAATTACGGGTTCATCTGGAACAGCACCTCTTCCTTTGGAGAGATCTGGCTTCGGAGGCTTCACAAGACACGCCTGTCCTGTACAGATGTCACTGGGTTTAGTTCCTGCCAGCGAATCCTCAATTTCTCTGCTTCTGGAAGACGCAAACATCTCTGGACGATGCAACAACTTTTGTTTGATGCAAGTTTTCTGCCCCTCCATCTCGTTCCCAGATGCATAAGAGAGAACTGGTAGGGAGTCTGGAGTCGGGCGTTTTTTTACTTCGAGACACGACAAGCTCTCTGGCAATGTTTGTCGACATCCATTCTCTATAATTCTGAGAGATGAACGTGGCTCCTCTTTCCTAAAAGGAGGAGCTTGGATTTTTTCTGAAATGACATGAGGTGCGTAACATACGGTCCGCTCTCTAGGACGATCAGGTGTTTGGCTGTTAGAGGAATTGTCTGCAGATTTACAGGAGCTGAAGACAGCTTCAGCTGAGTCGGGGGCTTTGGGTTGGTTTGGATGAGGTCTATCAGAAGAAGTTCGAGGGTGAGACGCAGATGAAGAATCCTGACTTGCGGGAGTTTTAGAGAAACTGAAGAAAGTTCTGGACAGCTGAGGTCCAAGTACGGCTTCCACCGAGTAGCAGACTGGCTCCTGTTGGTTCTGAGTGTTTGGTGAAGAGCTGGGAGGCTGGTCAGCGTCTGACGCACACTGTTCTGTTACATCAGGTTGCTCAAGGGATTCCTTCTCAGCGTCCGTGCTGTTGTAAAAGCTTGGCCTGGAAAATGAAAACGGATACAAGTTCAACCTGAATGAAAACCCTCACTGTGCGGTTCCATGAAAAGCCGTCTAAAAGCCACAAACTTTAACTTATTTTAATTTATACACCACCAGTCAGTGGCAGAAAGTGGCACACAGCTGTGAAATAAGAAAATAGCAAATGGTTTCTTTTTTTTTTTTTTTTTGCAAATGTATAAAGTATTCACTTAGCATTATCCTGCCACCTCTGTGTTTGACCATATGGTGTGAAATATTAAGTGGTGCATCACACAGAGCATTTTTGCATTCATCTGATCTGACCAGACCACCTTCTTCCAAGTGTTTGTCGACTCCTTTTACATTTTCTGATTTCTGACCCATTTCTGAAATTTTAATCAACTCAGTATTCATTTACTATTTTCTGGTGTTCGTGTCATGACTTTTAAATCTCGTGTTTTAACACCTGAGAGGTTGAGAGATCAAATCTGGGTTCTTGTTTTCTTCAGCAGGTTTGGTCTCCTGTGCGTCCGCCTGCTGTTCTGACGACTCCTCTTTATTTGTCTTTGCAAGTTGGTAAAAGGCTCTTTCTTGTTCCATGGCCTGCAGAGGGAAGACATTAACCTCACTTAGATGTTACAGCACAAAGAAATGCACTTTAATGCTCTGGATTCCCTAAAGAGCAACAGCACCAACCTCCTCCAACAGTTTGTCAGTGACGTCGTTGAGCGGCTCATGGGAGAACCTGCAGTTTCCTTCTTGCAAACAGTTTCCTTTCTTGTGGAAAAACTTGCATGGAAACGACTGTGCTGCCAAGTAAAGGAAAACAAGGAAACCGTCCTGCCATTTCTGACAGTGATCTGTGCAATCAAACAAGAAAAAGGTAAAAGGATATCATGCATGTAAGGGCAGCTCTGCCCGTTGATGCAGAATCCTCTGATGTAATATTTGCAGCCTTCTTTTATGATGTCGTTGTAACCTTGAAAATGCTCCAGCTGGCATTGATCTGCCTGCAAAACAAAAAGGAATAAACAAAAAGGAATAAACAACAAAAAAAAAAAGTGAACAAAATAAAGACAAGTAAAGCGTGAGAATCAGGTATTTTTTGGATCCTGTAACTTGTTAGATTTTTACGGAGCAGACCTTAATGCATCGTCCGGAGAGAAAATGTCGACACACTAAACGCCCGTCCACCAACAGGGCGTTCTGGTCCTTAAACTCCTGGGTCATGAATTTTGGTCTCTCCTAAATGAGATCAAAGATGAGATGACCAACCAATTTTCTCTGAGCATATCACTGTCCACCTTTGTTCACCTCCTTTATTGGTCTTGGGCCTCTATCATCATGATGCTGATTCTTCCCCTTCTTCTTCTTCTTCTTCTTCCCTCGATTCATTTTCTTTTTCTTGCCGGAATCAGTTTGATAGTTCTGACCGCTGCCGTTCTGCCTGAGGTTATAAGTGGAGTTAAAGCTGTGGTTGTATTTCTGGGCTGGAGAAGAGCGCTCACTCTCTATGACCTGCTCCTGGCAGGGTTTGCTCCGGGAGGTAAAGTTGTCTTTGGACTGGAACTGATGAAATCTCTTTTATAAAAATGGATAAAAATAAAAAAAAAATATTACACAGTAAAAGCAAAGGAAATTTAGAAACATATTTTGCTAATTAACTTGATAACAGGTTCATAACCTGCTCACCTCATAACATTTGCACATAACTTTCTTCAGGCATGTCTGGACTGACTTATTCTGAGTTAATAATGTCTGATAATGTTGATGCAGTCTGAACATTGTGGTATAAAAGTAAATCCTGGTTTAATTTAGAGTTTTATCATATCAGAATCCAATTTTAAAAAATGCCAAATGGCCTCACATTTAACTACTGAGTGATTTGGTAAATGGGGGAGATCAGGGACGACACAATAGCCAGGTACAGTGGTTAAAAAACAGGCTCTTCCATCACCATGCTTCACAGTTGGTGCAGTGTGTTTGTGCTGATATATTAGTTTGCATCAGTCAAAAGCACACTGTGGGGTTTTTTTTGCAAAATAGAATCTACAAATGACTGAAACATACCATGACATATTTACACAAATAAACCCAGGGCTTTAAATTATTGTAGAGGCATTACATTTTGGAGACAATCTCTTTAAAGAAAATGGGTTTTCTCCTTTCAATCAGGAGTTTTAATATACAAAGTGATGAAAGTTGCGCTCAAATGTTTTGCTACAGATGTACATATTACAAAATAAACAAGTTTAAATAAGCTGTTTGATTAAAAACATGTAAATGATTAGGAAAAATGTACAAAAACACACAATCAGTTACAGTAGCTAATTATTTATTTAGTTTTCTGCAACACTCGGCATCACTTGTCTTTTTATGGTTGACAAACTACATCTAAAGTTGACTTTAACGGATCTTAGTAAACTGACAAGTAACTTTAAATGTTTTAAGTAGTTCACCTTCTTGTACGAGCCGGGAATCTCCCACTGCGTTTTCCTTTTCCTCCCTCTCGAGCCATTCTCCGTCCTGTTGCTATGAAACACAGAGCATGCGCACAGATGCAGAGAACGCACTACCATTGCTTTATTCCATTTTACTCCATGACAATCAGCCGTTTTACCTGAATGTGATGTCAGATTCACCTGGGCTCCCTGCATCTTCAGTCATAGCAGACAGTCCAGAGAATAAGTTAGCAAAAGCCATTTTTTTTCCCTCACGTGTCAGAACAAATTTCCCCAGCAGGAGCGTAACGCTGTAAAATGTCCCTCAGAAACACTACCTTAGTCTGACTGGGGTTGAAATATGAGCATTTATCACCTGCCCTCTGCAGATACTTCCATGCGACTAATTTATGGCCATAAACAAACATAGAGCTAATGAAATTGGTCGCGTATCTTCCTCAAGCGGATGTTTTCTTCTTTTTAAAAACATCGATACTCAGTTTACTGGTGTTTTATCGCCGCCTTTTGGCCCGGAGTGTTAATCAGGGGAAACCACATTTTAAAACAACAGATCTAAAATGCCAAAGTTACAGTAGAATATTCATTGGAAAAAAAAAAATCAATATTTTCTGAAGAAATACTGCACATAACTGTGTCTTTAGCTAGGTTTTAAATAATAAGTTCTTCTTTGGTTGTACAGGAGTTGGACTCACTGATTTAACCTCTGGGCAAAGGCCTGGAAATGGACTGTGACCTCTGGAGCAAAGAGATGTACCATCCAGTAACCGAGCAATGAGTCCAATAAAGACAATTCAGCTTAAAATACTGATCCACTTAAGATTGTGTGACTCAAAAAAGAGACTGTTAAAAGTTTTTATCCCCTGAAGAATGTATTCCAGGTTTTGGGTTCAATCAAAATGTAACTCACAGTCCTAAATTCCAATTAAATCCAAGTTTTACATTTAATTCAGCCACACTTTATGTGAACACATAAAGTGTGAATCTGAAACAGGACAGGGGAAGCTGATGTGTAACATGAATTAATTCTAAACAAACAATAAAGTTAACCAAATAGTTTGTTTTAACAAGAAAGACATAAAGATAATTATTCTGTTTAACAGGAGTATCAGTCTTGACAAATTTGCTTAAGTGGCCAATTTAAACAAATTTAAACTCAGCAATACTGAGAAGTTACCAGGCCTCTTTGCCATCACCATAATCTGTAGACAGTTTATAAAATTGAAATTGGGATTGAGCTGGACCTCTCAAAATGTTTAATAATAACAAACATATTAGTAAAATTAAAACATTACTTTGATGCAAATTTTGCCTGGAGTCTAAATAATTGTGGACTTAATGGACCACATATTCAGATCAAAAATCAGGAGAGATGCAGTATTTTAAAGTCTTGGGCACCACATTTTCTAGAGGTGAAATGGTACCTTTCAACATATAATGGAGCTGACTAGTTGCACAAAAACTTGAAAATATAAATTGACAGTCTGTTTTACCTGTTGAAGAGATGAAAAAAAGATTAAACAATTTTTATTTTTACTTTTTTGACTCTGAACTTTTAAAAAAATCCTGATTGACGGATATTTTAGCAGTCAAAGGCAAAATACAAAAGCAATTTCTCAATCCGATTTCTTATCAGGTTAGAACAGTTTTAAATCAAGTTTAAATGTTTTTCTACTTTACTTATTAATATATGGTACCCTAAAACACAACTGAATGCTAGAAATTGATCATGACATGCTCCTTTATTTGAACTTTTCTTAAATCTAAAATGACCATAAATGTAATTAATTAAATTAATACACTCAGCAGACAAACTCATCATCAGCAGGACTGATAAAAGGCTAGGCCTGCTGAAAAGTCGAGATACCAGTTGGACTTTGTTCTTCCACATGCGAGACAGGTGTTGTGCCGAAAAGTGCGCGCTTGTCGATATTTCTATTCTTCGTGGCGAGGACGCGCATTACTCAGTAAACCCACATTTCGATGAAGAAAGCGGGTTGAAATCTGACCGAAACGCTGCTTTTAATATATTATAAATGTTAACACCTTTCTTATCTAAATGACCTAAAAAGAGAGAGAGAGCGATTGCTTTGCGATCCGCGTTCCCGCGACAGGCCATGCAAATCTCAGCAGGCATGCGCTTTTCGACGTGACATCTGTCCACGTCCGACTCAAAGTTCAGGTCACGCACTAAAGTTTCAGTGTCTCCTCTGAGAAGACCTGACTCCTGTTCGCACTGAGCACGTCTGAGCGACAGGATGAGACGCTGGGCCCTCGTCGTGCCCCTCCTGGTGGGCCTGTTGACCCTCAGAGCTGCAGGTCAGGAGGCTGGAAACCCAGAAGCCTCACCACCTCCACCGGGTCCACCCTCTGATGGCAGCACCCAGGCAGGGGACGAGAGCGAGGACTGGGGGCTGAACTCCCTCCGGGGAGGCTTTGAGGCGGTCAGCGGATACTTTGACTCCATGCTGGAGTTCATGGGCGGAAAAGATGGAGTGTGCCAGTACCGCTGCAGACATGGTAAATCTGACCTGGATTAATGGAATCGCATATTTTGATTTAGGGTTAAGTAACACATGATCTTATTGATTTTTGTTTGAGTCAGCAAGCGTCTGTAAGACCTAACAGTACTTATATGTTGTTTTCCAAATAAATTTATAGCTAAAAAAAAATAAATAAATAAACAAAAATGTAAAATTCATCCTTGTTTCAGACTATAAGTAAAAAATCCGTAACCTCTGCAAGACACACAATCATATGATAACCTTTCAAATTGCCTTTACTGCCATATGGCAGAGCTGATATTTTAGCTCTTGAAGACAGCTACATTTTACTTCTAAGTACTTCCTCTATCAAAAATATGTTTGTCCAAACAAAACATTTTAATTACCACTTTACATTTTCTACATACTATGTTCTGATTTAAACGTATGACGGCACATTAACATACATTTAGACATTTCCTGTTTTAGAATGAGAGTAACATTATTTTAAATGTCTCTTATTTATTTATTTAATTTTAAAATGGTTCTCCCTCTTCTCTTAAATGTGCAGGATTTTCTACAACTAAACGTATAGTTGGAGCCAATATGTTTTCCCATTTTGGCTCTGTTATCTGGGTGAGGCCCAGGAAACGGACTGTGGCCTCTGGGTAATAGGAGAGGGGCCATCCGGTCACTGGGGGGCGTGTCAAACATTTTGATTCTGTGTTTCTATGTGCAAACGTGGATCTATTTTAATCTCACAGGTATATTGTCCAGCTGGCTTCATGACCTACATCAAAATCATTTTTTTCTCTATTTCGTGTTGCAGGTAAAGCGCCTCTTCCTCGTCCAGGTTACAACATGCCTGAGCCTGATGGATGCAGCTCATACTTCTTTGGGCTTCCTGTTCCAGACGGGGTAGGCTTTGTAGAAAAAAGCAGGTTTCTGGGTTAGAAAAAGTCAATTTTATTCAGTAATGCTTTTCTCATAAATTCTACATGTAAAATATGTATGTAAGGATAGCTGATTACATACATGAAATAATAACAGAATGAACTTGGATGTGACCCAGAGGATAAAACCTAATATATATATATCAAAGAATGTCATGGAATAATTTTTATTTTTTTATATATATAATATTATATTAT